ATCTATCTATCTATCTATCTATCTATCTATCTATCTATCTATCTATCTATCTACCTATCTATCTATCTATCTATAAATCGATTGGTCGATCTATCTGTCTATCTATCTATCTTTCTATCTATCTATCTATCTATCTATCTATCTATCTATCTGTCCGTCCGTCCGTCCGTCCGTCCGTCCGTCCGTCCGTCCGTCCGTCCGTCCGTCCGTCCGGCCGTCCGTCCGTCCGCTCGCCCTGCGCCCGGTCCATCCATCCATCCATCCATCCATCTACCTATCTAGCTATCTATTTTCCTATTACTTCTTATATTTCTCATCGTTTGTCTTCTTCATATTCTTTATCTTCTTCTTCTTCTTCTTCTTCTTCTTCTTCTTCGTCTGGGAGAATCTATGTGAGCCGAGATTTGCTTTCCTATGGGGCATCATTGTAATTTAGCCCCCAAAAGGAGAAATCTTTAAAACTATCTCCCTGGACGCAAAGATAAAGCTGCTATAAGCTATCACGTAAATGTTTAACAGCAACACGGGCAAACATATCGATGTCCAGTGGTGGGTCGTGACTGGCATCGCGTAGCAAGCACAACGGACTGCATCGAAAGCTGCGTCTATATCAGCCCTTCTTCTTCCTCCTCTCTTCCTCCATCTTCTGTTCTGCCGTCTCATCCCCCTTCCCTTGTGCTCCTCTTCCTCCTCCTCCTCCTCCTCCTCCTCCTCCTCCTCTTCCTTCATCTCCTTCTCCTCCCCTACTCCTCCTCCTCCCCTCTTTCATCTTCTCCTCATCGTCCTCCTCCTCCCCCTTCTTCTCCGCCTCCTTCTCTCTATCTTCTCCGCCTCCTTCTCTCTATCTTCTCCCTCCTTTTATTCTCTTTCCTCGTCGACTTCTTCTCATTATTCATTTCTTCTTTTTCTTCTGCTTTTTTATGTTTTGTTCTCCGTCTTGTTGTTGTTGTTGTTGTTGTTGTTGTTGTTGTTGTTGTTGTTGTTGTCTTGGATGAGTATAATACCTATCACACCTATATTAGGGGAGTTGCGCGTTACTGCTTAGCATTGTCGTTAGTTCAACCGTTCTTACCTAGATTCTAACATAGCCAGCTGTCCTAAACTTCTTATGCTTCTGCAACACTATATAACGAGGCTCTATATAAAACCTGCGTTTCCGCGTAGTACGTAGTTTCGTGCTCCGGTTGGTGAGGCGAGGTCGTGTGGTATAATATCCCAGGAATTGTAATAAAGTGTAGCACCATTGCTATAATCTCGGCAGAATCAATATCCACTCTGGCTCCTCGTAAAACATTTGTTTTATTTTTCTGTAGCGGGAGCTGTTTTCACAGAGCGAGGTTGTTCGTCTTACCCCCAACCTCCGGATGTAGCGACGCGGGATCAATTTCAACAGCTGGCGTCAACTGATGCTAAGTGTTTTACTGATCAAGAGCGCACTAGCATTGATGAGGATGGGAATCGAACCCCAGACCTTTCGGCACGAGAATTTGTCGGCTAGTCGTCAGTCAAACGCTACTCTTATTTGTTACGATTTATTATTTGATAAGCACAGCAGCAGCAGCAGCATAGGCAGCAGCAGCAACAACAGCTACAACAACAACAACAGAAACAACTGCAGTAGCAGCAACAACAACAGCATCACCACCACTACCACCAGCAGCAGCAGCAGCAGCAGCATCATTATCACCACCACTAGCAGCAGCAGCACCACCACCAGCAGCAACAGTATCAGCAGCAGCACCAGCAGCAGTAGCAACAGCAGCAGCAACAACAGCAGCAGTACCAACACCACCAGCAACAGCAGCAGCAATAGCGGCAGCAACAGCAGCAGCACCACCACCACCACCACCAGCAGCAGTAGCGGTTGTATAAACCTTCATCTATTTCCTCCGCACTTACCGACATGTCTTCGTCGTCGCTGCGAAGATGCTCGGCTATGTAATGTATGCCCTCGATGGCCTTCTGTATATCCTCGGGCAGCCTGGCGCGCGGCCGCGCCTGCCCGTGCACGCTGTTGCTCTTATTCGCCTCGTAGAACGACGGCATGCTCGCCTCCTCGAACCTACTCAGCGACTCGTTCATTTTCGTCTTGCGCACGTAGTCCTTCGGCCGCTTGATGAAGAGTATCGCCGGCAGTATCTCGAGGAAGATCTTCTTCGTCCACGGGCCCATCGTGTGCGTCGACGGCGAGCGAAAGTGCACGTTGAGCACGCATATCGTCGTGCAGATGGACGCCGTCACGAGCAGCATCGTGAAAAGCAGGTACTTGCCGAACATCGGCACACTGAGTGACGACTGAGGTATGATCTCGATGAGCATGAGAAAGAAGACGGTGAGCGCGAGCAGGATCGACACACACAGCGTCACCTTCTCGCCGCTGTCCGACGGCAGGTAGAAGACGAGCACGGTGAGAAACGAGATGACGACGCAGGGTATGATGAGATTCACCGTGTAGAAGAGCGTCTTGCGGCGCAGCGTCACGTTGTAGGTAATGTCGAGGAACGGCTCGGCGCAGCACGGGTAGAACACCTCGTGCCGCTCGCCGGGCACCTCGAGAATGTCCCACTCGACGCTCTGCGAGTAGTCGGACAAGTCGATGCCGCGCTCCAGATACGACGACGACATGTTGGACATGTGAACGAGATCGGCGAGGTCACCGCTGTACGTCCACAGGCCGAACTTCATGCTGCATTTTTGAATGTCGAACGGGAAGTACTGGATGTCGATCTCGCAGAAGCTCTTGTAGATGACCGGCGGCTCCCAGGCGACGGTGCCGTTATGATAGAGCGTCGCCTTCGTCATCAGCGTCACCTGGTAGTTGCCGTCGGCACTAGATGCGAGAAGAAAAAACAAGAGGCACGCATTAGAGGATCGTTACGCGACGGTGCGTTTCACATCTACGTGTCGTCGCCAGCGACACCTGGTAGTTGACGTTAGCACGAGAAGGAATAAAAAACAAGAGGCACGCAGCAGGGGAAGGCTTTGCGACGGTGCGTGCGTTAAACATCTAACAGTAGGATTTAAGCATTTGCTGCAGCGCGCAGGCACGGCGTACGATTACCAAAAACGCCGCGATAAACTGTAATACAAGATGTCCTGTCAATCGTCGGGATTATTTCTGGAATGCTGTTTTGAATGGTTGCGAGTTAGTTAGCCACGCAGGCCTCTCTATCGGCGGGTGAGCTATGAAGCCATACGAGAGTCGTTAGCCCTAGAGGCTACACCTTAGACATGCAGGTCGGCGTGTCAGCTGGTGAAGTAGGAAGCCAGAAGAGAATCGTTAGCCACGATTCGAATCAAATGGGTTCAACGTTCGATTTCGTCAACAGCTATTTCGTATCGGTGTCTCCTGAGACTATACTCTCACAAGCACGCCTCGAGATATATTACACACACGCGGCAAATTACTGTGGACATCTGAATATAGCGAATTTTGCACAGGGGAGAGATAGTAATCCGCTAGGAGACGGCTCTGATTGGCTAATTTTGTTTCTTATTTATTTTATTTTTTATTATTTGTGGCTTATTTTGTTTTATTTTAGAATTAGGGATAGAGTTAGGGTTAGGGTTAGGGTTAGCATTAGGGTTAGGGTTAGAGTTAGGGTTAGAGTTAGGGTTAGGGTTAACTGATTTCTATATCCACAACGTATTTCTATATTCACTATCTCTCCCTTGAGACCTACTAGAATATAGCTATAGGTCCGCGGTATATTAACATTAATGAAATTCGCGTTGTACGCGAACGAATAGGTGTTTGTATCTGATATCCGTTGATTATAATCAAATAATTATTTATGTGATACGGGACAACGTTTTATATCTTCTCATCCGGGAGTCGCTGCTAATTTACCCACGGTTGTTGCGCAACTGACACCGATCCATTAGTTGCGCAATTGCGAGTCAGAAAGTTGTTCTGCGGGCCGTCGGTAATCGCTGAATGGTAAATACGGGCGTATACGTAATTGCTTAACAAGAACAATATTTGGATATCCGATCGCAAAGGCTGCTGCGATAATATTGCCGCGGGAGCTTAAATGTTTAATTTTGCAATAACAAGCGCTTTAAGAAATTGGCTATGTACTCGCATGAGCATGTGAGTTTCGTTATCTCGCGAAGAAATTACACGCGCAAGCCGTGCATGTGGGCAAAACCCCCACTGCATCTGGAAGGGGGTGAGACGGAGAGCGCCAACCGTCTTATTGGAAACAGGCGTTTAGTTGGTGTTTACCACAGCGTACATGCACTGCTGCCGCGCTCTAGAGACAGTGATCTCAGTATTATTTTAAATTAGCGAAGTATGTTTATGCAACTGCTACCACTATGTGAAGTTATTTGTTCTACTTAGAAAGACATATGGTTTTTGGTAATATTATCAGGAGTCTATCAATATTGATAGACTCCTGATATTATGTCAAAGACGCAAGATTGCAACTGTAGCTCTAGTAACCTCGTAACATCCTCTGCCCCCCTCCTGTAATTTTCTCTATCGTTCCGCCTTTCTCACTGGCGCTTTCATCTCTCCAGAAGTTAATAATGGTAAATTTGGCATTATTACCCCCTGATCTCTCTCTCTCTCTCTCTCTCTCTCTCTTTCTCGTTCTATTTCGCTGTCGCTCTCTCCCCCTCGTTCTTTTTCGCTGTCGTCTCTCTCTCTCTCTGTTTCTTTCTTTTTGACGGTCTGTCTGCCTTTTCCGATCTCTCTCTTTCTCTGGGCTTCATCTGCTCTCTTGTCCTCATCTCTGCTCTCTGCTCTCTCTGTTGTCCTTGCGCTTTGTTTGCGCAAAGCACGAGACGCAAGTTCTCTAATACCTCACTACGAAAAATTCCCCGAGTATAACCGTCTACCGATAGCACGGTTCCGATGCTGGGGGAGGCCGGGCGGCCCGCCATCTGGGCAGTTTATCGTGGGACCTCAAAATCGGTAGTGTCTGGAAATTTTACCCGACTGAGTGATTCGCCAGCTTGTGCGCGTGATATATATCGCAGAGGTCGATAGCAATCCATCGCCAACGACAAAGGAATGGCAGTCTACGGTTAATCACCGAGCGTGTTATATATACGCTCTAGCTATACACTAACGCGCGGCGCGCGGCTGCAATTATATATAGAGAGTTGGAGCAATTATGTTATTGGTGCTACTGCTGCTACTGCTATTGCTGCTAGCTACTGCTGCTGCTGTTGCTGCTACTGTTGCTGCTGCTGCTGCTGCTGCTACTGCTACTGCTACTGCTGCTACTGTTGCTGCTGCTACTGCTGCTGCTACGGCTGCTGCTGCTAATGCTGCTGTTGTTGCTACTGCTGCTGCTGCTGCTGCTGCTGCTGCTGCTAATGCCGCTGTTGTTGCTACTACTGATACTGCTGTTGCTGCTGCTGCTGTTGCTACTGCTGCTACTACTACTGTTGTTGTTGTTGTTGTTGTTGTTGTTGTTGTTACTGCTGTTGCTGCTGTCGCTACTGTTGCAACCACCGACGTTCCAGCGGCTAGCTGTTGCTGCTACTGTACTACTACTGCTCCTACTGCGTTACTTCGGTGACTCCTGTTATAGCTCTTCCTTCCAGTACTGTTGCACATGTTACAATTGTTACTACTGCTCCTGCTGCTGCTGTTGCTTCTGAGACTATTGATACGATCAGGAGGGAATAAAAACAAATTTTGTTTTTATGCACACCTGATACTGCTAGTTGTTGTTGTTATTGCTACAGCTGCTGCTAATACTGCTGCTACTAGTTGCTACCGCTGTTATTGCCATTGCTACTGCTACAGCTGCTGATATTACTGCTGCTGTTGCAGCGACCGCAACTACGATTATACTTATTATATAAGATTAAACACGCAAACGTAAAACCATTAATGCGACCCAACCAATGCACACCACTCTCTTGTTTTTCTCCGTGCGTTTCGCCGGATCGCCGTAGTCGGGAAACGTGACACAGTTGCACTACAGTGCCGTGACCTACTATTAGGTCGTGGCTTCCTCCCGACACGCTCTGCTGCCAGCGCTACATGCTCCTCCTGCTGGCTCGACTCGAGTGAACTTGACTATTAGGAGTTGTCGGCAGTGCGGCCGAGCGGCGTGCAGTGAGGGATGCTACATAGACGCAGTAGATGTTTATGCGCGTAAATCGGGGTTAAGGTCTATGTTAATCGTCGACACTGCAAGCTGACGGCTTCACCTACAGCAGGCCACTCCCGTCACGTCGTATCGTCAGGAGCAGTAGTCGCAGTAGCAGCAATAGCAATATTACTAGCAGCAGCAGTAGCAGTAGGAGCAAGAGCAGCAGCAATAGCAGCAGTGGCAGCAGTAGTAGTAGCAGTAACAGCAATATCAGCAGCAGCAAGAGTAGGAGCAGCCGCAGCAGTAGCAGTAGCAGTAATAGCAATATCAGGAGCAGCAGCAACAGCAGCAGCAGTAGGAGCAAGAGCAGCAGCAATAGCAGCTGTGGCCGCAGTAGTAGTAACAGTAACAGCAATATCAGTAGCAGCAAGAGTAGGAGCAGCCGCAGCAGTAGCAGTAGCAGTAATAGCAGCAGACATAGCAGCAGAAATAGCAGCAGTAGCAGCAGCAGTAGCAGCAATAGCAATATCAGCAGCAGCAACAGCAGCCGAAACAGCAGCAGCAATATCAGCAGCAGCAACAGCAGCCGCAACAGCAGCAGCAGTAGCAGCAGCAGCAGTACCCGCTGGCTCACATTTCCTGATCGAATATGTGTGCGGGCGTAATAGAATTCGCTCTAACAAGAAATTACAGAACCGAGCTAATGTTGGCGCAGTTAGAAGCTGCTATTGCTGGCCTAGCAGAAGAACTACCGTCTTTATTGATCCCGTTAGAGTTGTTTGTACGTGAAACATGTGGCGCATATAATTGCGCATAGCGGTCGCTGGTTAATTCTACTTCGGTGCGTGTACGTGCGTGCGTGCGTTGTGTGTGTGTGCGCGCGTGCGTAGCGATGGTGTGTGTGCGGGCGGGTCGGTGCCTGCGATTGCGTGTGACGTGCGTGCGTGCGTTGTGCGTGTGTGTGTGTGGTGTGTGTGACATCATAATTCGTTAAACGGGAACGGCCGCTCGCCAATCGCCCTAATCTCCATCGTTCTCTATATCTATGACTCTAATAGCGCCCTTCATCACTCGGATCTCCGCGCACCGCAATCTGCGTGAGTTGTTGTTTACGCAAGTGGTTCAAGCGAAAAAGACTGAAGAGAGAAGCGCGTGCAAGAAAGAGAGAGAGAAGAGAAGAGAGAGACGAGAGAGAGAGAGATGGGAGGAGAAATGTAATAGAAGACGCGAAAGCGAGTATCGGTAGCGAAGTTAGAAGAACGGACAACGAGAGAGGGAGTTAAGCTCACGGAGATGAGAAAATATCGAAACAGCTAACGAGAAGGTCTAGCGAGAAGAAATGATGAGAGAGGATAAAGAAATAGACAAGAGCGACATAAGAGCGAGAGATATTATAGATATAAACTAAAACAGAGTGTGACTGATGCGCGAGAACGAGAGGGAGAATAACGAGAAGAGAAGAAGAGCAGAGGGGCGCAATGACGAGAGACAGAGAGAGAGGGGGCGCGAATGAGAGAAAGAGAGAGAGAGAGAGAGGGGGGCGCAATAAGAAGAAGATGAGAAGAGAGAGAGATTAAAAGAAAAACCGAGAAGCAAGAAAGCGGAGAGGGAAGTAGAGAGAGAGAAAGAGATAGAGACCTAGGGGGGCAATGAGAATCAGAACCAGCGGTTACCAACGGCCAATATGTTCGCCAATCAGGCGCGCTTGCGGCTAAGCTGACGGCGGGATGCCTCATGCTCTTCAACTGTTGCTACTGCTGTCGGGGGTCTATCGTGGTCACGGACGCTGCAGTGGGGCGCCAAGCTGTCGCACATCGCATCGTACAGATTCCGTCAGCGAGGTGGGCGAAGACGGCTCGTCACTAATATCGCCCGCCAGCGCCGGTGTACGCTCTATCAGCTGCGCATTCACGACGTCGCAACGGAAGCGCACTTTGTGTTTAGGTGTCCGCTGATATAAACTCCGTCGATATATATATATATATATATATATATTCTAATGACGGTTGGAATATGTAGAAGAAATGATTTACAGCATGCACACACAGCCTGGGGTTTTCTCAACCATTGATTCGATTTGTTGTTTGAGACCGAGATAAACAGCAGCAAACTGTAATATCATCGCGGCTATGATCATTACGAACGGCGAATCATCGTGTAAATTCTGGTTAGTGGCTCCTGTTTTCTAAGATGGATTGGTCGAATTGAGTTATAATTTAGTGGATTATCGATAGCAGCA